CAGGGAATTATAGTTTCTGCACCTTTCACTTGCCCAGTCTCTGACCAAAGAGGTCAAGTATTAACAAGCGTCAGAGTGTTGTGGAAATGTTTCTGCTTCAGGTTCAGGAATTTATATGATTTTTCTGTTTGATTTTTATTTGGTATTTTCTTCCAGCATGGGGTTTTGCATCTCAGTTTTTTAAGATCCCTGTTATTTTAAAAATATCTATTTTCTCAAAACTTTTTTTTTTGGTTGTTGTTTCTGGAAATTATATAAGTTTATCTGATAATCTGCAGACAATACTAAATGAATTTATACTTGTACCTCTTACATTCCTGTTTGGTTCTTAAATCATCTCTTTGTGCAAGGGAAATACTATGCTACAAGGTTCATAACTGGTGGTTAATATTTCAGCTTTGTTTGGCAATGCTAGTTCTGTAAAGACTTGATTAGAATCAACCTTGTATGGCATTGATTTGTTTTTATCTTAGTGGAATTTGTTCTGCAAACACTTACTGCATTCTTCCTTGGGAGTCACCACTTTGTCTATGTTAGGAGGAGCAGGAAGTGAATACACATGAGGTCTTTAATTTTCTTCTGAGAGCTTTAAATACTATGTAGTGATTTTTATAAAGCATTAATATCAGAACAGCCATTGCTGCCAAGTAGCTGACATTCTGCAATAGCACTTCCCTTCGGGCACCTTTGGGGTGTGTGTGTGTGTGTGTGTGTGTGTGTGTGTGTGTGTGTGTGTGTGTGTGATGTGAGAAGAAACATTCTGTGGGTTCATCCTGCTGAGCTCAGTGACCTCCTGTTCTGTGAACTCCAGTATGACCCCATCTAAACCTGGAGGAGAATCACACCCAGTAGGAAAGGAGTGGAGGCAGCATTCCAACAGGAAGGAAACATCTGTTGCTGGAAAACTCGGAGGGAATATGCAGGGAAGGTGTATTAGTATCACAAAAGGAAAGGGAAGGGCTAGACCCACCCTGATGAGCGTAGTCCCATGTTTGTAATGTATTTGATGACATTTGATCAATAATGGATCTATCTATTGAAAGGAGAATGATTCCTACACAAGGTATATCATTTGTAAAGATATATGTAGAAATTTATAGGCAGAGTGACTTGTTTTTAGAGAAAAGGTTTTTGTTTTTCATTTTTTTTGAAAGTGTCCACTTCTAAGGTTTGAAATATAGAATTATTTCTCTTTCACCAAAATGAAATGGTTTTTTCATTGAATCTCTTACATGTCTGTGGAGGCCAAGAAGCATGTTGAATAAGAATATAGGCTCTGGAGGGCCTGCCACCTGCTGAGTGTGCTAAGGTACACAACTGATAGTATTTTGAAGATTAAATGATTTAGAATGCATTCAATAAATTTTACCTATTTTTATTGTCATTTTTTTTTAAATCTTCCTTTCTGGAAAATATTGCAGAAAGTGGATATTACCTTTTTAAAACATAATGAATACTTGATAAAGATGAAATATGTTAGAATAGGCTTCCGTTTATTTATTTATTTATTTTGTAGAGATGGGGTCTCACTCTTGCTCAGGCTGGTCTCAAACTCCTGAGCTCAAGCCCTCCTCCCCTCTCAGCCTCTCAGAGTGCTAGGATTACAGGCTTGAGCCACCACGCCCAGGCTGAATTGGCTTCAGTTTAGGGAAACAGAAGAAGTCTGTCTAGGAACCATGTTATTCTCAGAAAGAGTGCAGCTTTGACTGTAAAGTATATTTTAATCAATTAAAAATGTAGATATGTGTGGAAGTGAGAATATTTAAATGTGCTGATAGGCTTTTATTCTTAGTTTTGTTTCTTTTGCCTACCCCCTTCCATTGTTCTGTTTTATTGTCTAAATGATTAAAAAAAACAAAACAAAACAGTATATCATGTCAGAGGGAAAACTCAATGTATAAGCTGGCTGACAATGTTTTGTGTTTTCTTTGAGAATATTTACCTCAGGACTCTAAATGGCATCATTAAGCTTTCATTTCAAAACACATACCCAAGCATGCATGTCGTAACTATTTATTCCTGTATATTATCATATTGGAGACCCTTCAGTGCTGGACAAAGCCAGGAGTATTAGCCATTGAAGAACTGTGTTCTCACAAGAGACTATTCTATTGGTTGGGGACAGCCTCCTTTTACTAAAGGGGCGGTTCGGGGCATAGAAAACTGGAATTTCGTGTTTCCCCTTGAGAGTTTGCCAGCTTGATCCCTAGCCAACCAGATAACTGCTTCTGGTGCCACTTGGTCCTAAGACTCCCAGCCTTGTGCCAGCCCTTAGAGAGCAGTTCCACGATGCCTGCCCACACTATCCTGAGAACCAAGAGCCGTACAGATAACAATGTGATGCTAACTCCAAGGACTTTTAGCTGAAGTTCTGATAAACCTCTGAGCTTATTATATTATATTCTTACTAATTTTACTTACTACTTACTACTAAGTATTGCTTTACTGTTTTAAATGCATCGTGTCAAGAATCTATTTTGTCATTTCAGATTTCTTTCTAGAACTATATGTTTCTTTGATTAATACCATCATTCGTTCAAGCAGCCAAACTCAAAGCTTTATCACTACAGTTGAGTTTTTCCTCCCTATACCTCTAATGTTACTAAATGCCATGCATGCCTTTATTTCCGTCTTTGATCATTTTATTTCATTTCTTCTACCGTCTTGGTCAGACTCTTAACACTTATACTTGAAATACTGCCATAAGCCAGTATCTTGCATGTGATTATTTACATAATACCTAAATCTTTTCTACTACTTGACACTCACTGGAATGGACATAATAAAAAAAGGCATATAGCGTCAGTGAGGATGTGGAAAAATCGGACCCCTGGTCCATTGATGATAGGAATGTAAAAACAGTGCAGCCACTTTGCAAAACCAGTTTGGCAAGGTTAAGCCTGGAATCACCCCATGATCCAGCAATTCTACTTCTAGGAATCCACTCCTAAGAGAACTGAAAATTAGGTTTGCTCACAAACTTGCAAAATGTTGTACATCCATGTTCGTTGCAGCATTATTCGCAATAGCTAAAAGGTGGAAGCAGCCCAGATGTCTATTGATGAATGAATAGATAAACAAAATGTGGCATAGATACAAAATGGATTATTATTCAGCCTTTAAAAGGAAGGACATTGTGACACATGCCACAGCATTGGTGAACCTTGAATATAAGTGAAGTAAGCCAGTTGCAAAAGGACAAATACATGATTCCACTACGTGAGGGACCTAGAACAGTCACATCCATATAGGCAGAAAGTAGACTGATGGGGCTGGAGGAGGGAAGAATAGGGAATTATTGTTCAATGAGTATACAGTTTTCTGTTTAGGAAGATGAAAAATTCTGGGGATGGTTGGTGGTAGTTGTTACATAACAATATGAATGTACCTAATGCTACAGAGCTGTATGCTTACATATGGTTTGAATGGAAAATTCTATGTTACATATATCTTCTGTATGAGTTTCTTTTTATAAACTGTACAGAACAGGTAAATCCATAGAGACAGAAACTTGATGAATGTCACCAAGGCCCAGGGGAAGCATGAATGAGAACTGACTCCTAATGGGTACTGGGTTTATTCTAGGAGTGATGAAAGTGTTGTGGAATTAGATAGTGTCAATAGGTGATAGTGGCATAACTTTTTGGATATACTAAAAACCAGCAAACTGTATAATTTACAAGGGAGAATTTTAACATATGCAAATTATATCTCAAAACACCCCTTAAATCTTAACACCATGTCCTAGTCTCTCTCAGCTTACTATTTTTACCTATGTGACTTTGAGAAAAGATTAAGTGATCTCCCTTCTTACTCTGTAAAATAGGAATAACGGTAACTACCTTACCAGATTTTCGTGAGTGTTAAATGAGGCAACATATGAAGTGTGTCTAGCATAGTGCCTGACATTTACTAAGAACTTGGTAAATTTACTAAGAATACCATTTAAGGCTATTCCAATACTATTTCCAGATATTCAAGAAAATGGCCCAACTGCTTAACCCATTTTACCAAAGCTCTTTAGATTCTGTTTCAAATCTGTGTCTCCAAATTCTTCTTATGCTTCTTTATAAAAACCCTTCAGCTAGAGTGGACTTCTTAGTCTCCCCAGTTTGCTGTGAGCATTTCTGTAGCTATCTTTTCCTGAAAACAGTGCTTTCTCCCCATTTCTCTCTTTCTCTTCATTTCACCCTGCTCTTAGAAGTCAGTGGACTTCTAGCATGCGTTAAACTTTCTCCCTTCTTTTGGTGCCTAGTCATCTCTATTATTTTGTAGCACCCAAGATTTTCACTACAGTTTTGACCAAATGAAGTCTTACTTGTGTTTTTAAAGTATGTATTTTATAGGTCATCTTTTTAAGGTATGTGTCCAATCTCTCCAGCTAAATTAAAGCCCTTGAGCACAACAAACACATGTTATCCTGCTTTTCCTTTTTCATAGCACTTAACACATTGTCTTGATGTGGTACATACCGAATAAATATTTGCTATTTGTGAGTAAAGTTAGTGCTACATCTCAACAAGGACAAGGGCTTAAACTGATGACTTTCGATCCTGGCTTCACCTTAGAATTACCTGGGGAATAACGTTTCATCTGAGCCCACCTAGTCAGAATCTCTGAGCATAAATGTTTAGCTTTGCACCAGGTGATACTCATGTAAACCAGGCTGAGAAGCAGTGGACTCAACAGATGAAGGGATCTAAGGCGATGGTTCCCAAGTCCAGTTGATTATGTAGTCAAGATGTGGGGACCAAAGGTGCTTTGGGCATTGCAAAGTGCCCTACAAATATAGATAATATTATTATGGTACAGTTGAGAGTGACATTGCTTTGAGATAGATTCTCTAACCCTAAATTTTTTAATAGCCAACAGCGTAAAGGAAATAGGTCATTATAGGTATCTAAAACCTTTTAAACGCTACATGATAGCTTTTATGCCAGATGATATATGTCCTGTTGCTTTTTGCTAACTTAAAAATATTCAAACACTGTCTTTTCTAGGCTGGCAAACATTCAGCAGCGCACTCTCTCAAGACTGTTTACCTGCCTTTGCTCCTGTTGAGTGACCACGCTTGGAAGCGAGAGATGGACTCGGCGGCAGCCGGCAGGACATGATCCCGGTGGAGCAGTGAGAGACAGAGCTGCTGGTGAGACAGTGGGGTGGGCGATGCCGTTTTGCAGGTGTGAGTTTGTTCCAACTTAATGGTTAATCTCCCTTCCAGCCTTCAACTCTAAATACCTTTGCACTTTCTCAAATACCTTCATTCTCTGTGCTTTGGACACATGGATTAGATTATAAGGTCTAGGAATCCCCTAAAGTTGTGTGCTGACTTATCTGTATTTTTTCTAGAGAAAAATAAACATTTTCACCAGATTCTCAATGTCTATGAATCTTTTAAAAAGCAGTAAAAATCATTCATATATAACTATAAACATAGAGACATGTGGTATCTGTAATCACATGTTGCAGTATTTCTCTTCTCCACTTTTACCTCATGTGTAACCACTGCGTCTCAATCTTGTTAAGGACCAAATACGTGGTGTCTGTAGTTCTTTGCTGGTCTGACAAGTCAGCCCCTATCCCACCCAGGCAGCCAGATTCCGGGACATTTTGGCACCATAGAACTAGCAGAAAGTAAATTATGGCAGATCTCAGGAGAACCTATGTGGTTGTTTTTTTTAATATGTGATTTTCTGAAAATACAAATAGGCAATGACAGAGAGTGAGACACTAAAAACTTGTTTTCATCATGTTCTTATCATTGGTCTTAATAAAGATCAGTTTGCTCTAAATGTCAGTGAGCTGTTCCGCGTCCTAACATAAGGGTTGTCAAACCATTTTGACTTCTACGCAGGTATAGAAGTAGGGAAATGTATTTTTTTCCAAAATATTTGAGGCGAAGACTAGAATGAACTCTACAATATATCCCTTTGCCTATACTGTAAGCCAGTTAAAATTAAAGGAATATTGTAGGGAAGAAACTGGAGGTTAGGTAGCAAAAAAGAAGAATTAGGTATTTTTTTCCTCTGTAACTCCTTTAGCAGATAATTCAGTGTCAGTTTCACTGAATCTCCTGTATGCATTCAGCATAATATATCTTCTAAAAAGCCTGCAATCTCTGCCCTCACTCCAGACACCTAAGTATATAAGTATCCACCCTGCCACTCGATACTTGTTAGAGACTGTCCTGGTGCTGAGAAATCCTTTGTGGTGTGCACTTAGCTAAACGCTCATGATACTGGATGTTGCCATTTTCAAGACATAGGGCAAGTTCACCTGTCTAGATTACCTTTCTACTCTGGGAATTTTAGGTTGCTCTGCGAGGGAAAGAGACTTCAGCACAGTAATAACTCTCAGAATGAAAATTTTCCCCTTGCATGCTTGTATTTTTAGAGTAATCATTGTCACTGAAAATAGACTTCCTCTTTCCCCTCTCATGCTGGAAAATCTTAGGTAATTATGAATAAAGGTTTCTTTACTTTTCCCCTCCCTCCTTAATGATTGCCTTACCTTACATCATGAGAACTGTGGCCTGTGGCCACTCATTCTGTTCTTGTCCTTTACATGAAAACTGAAAATGTCTTTTTAAGATGGAATTTTTACTGTTTAGTGAAGTCACAATGTTTGAAGATATTCTCTGCTTGGAGGTAAAGGGCAGATAAAGAAGTACAAAGTTTATGGAAAAGTATAAAATGAATGACTAACATAAAAAGAGGACAACAAATTAAAATATTAGCTTCTTGCAAAAAGATTTTATAAGTAGCTCTCTGAGGAGTTCTACCCCCAAAGCCCCCCAAAAATCTTAATTTTTCTTTTTACAGTTGGATAAGCTCAGCCTAGCACTTATTTTCAAAAATAAATAAGCCTTGGGCTTATTTTTAGCCTGGCACATAGTAAGTTCTCAATTTTATATTAGCATTTGTTTTATTATTATTTATTACTATTCTGTCTTCAGTGTTTAAAATGAATTCATTCAGAAGTATTGAGCATGCTGTTGAACTTAGTCTTAGAGTCTAGAGTGGGAGAAGAACATAAACAAGAAAAATAGGAATGTGCTAAGTACCGTGAAGTGCTAGGATATATATATATTTTTTTTCATATATATATATGAAAAAGGAAGTTGGGTGGCATGGTAAAGTAGTAATTAAAGATATAGTAGTCAAGGAAGGCAGCTTTATGAGATGATGTTTTGAGTAAAATTCTGATAGAGATGTAGAAACAGGCCATAAAGTTAAGTGGGAGAAGAGCCTTCCAGGGAATAGAGAAGAGCGTGAAGACCTAGAGTAGGAAAAAGCTTACTCAGAGTGAAGCACAGAGAATCAGAGCATCTTATACCGTTTGATCATATCCCATCAGTAAACATTTCCCCATATACCCAGGTAAGGGACAGACGCAAGAACTTCAGAAGGTCAAGGAATGGCCAGGTCCATCTGGACCGTAACAGTAAGGGGGGCTTCACGGGAGAGTGGCAGGGCTCGGATCAGATCTTGAAGGATAGGAAGAATTTGGATGGGTAAGGAATGACATCCAGTGGAGGGAAGTGGAGGGGAAATAGCATGACATGTAGTGAAATTAGAGGTGTTCCTTTGAGGGCAGGGGGGGCCAGGCAGCGGGCAGGTGATGTGGAGGCAGAGGGGAGGCTGCTTTGTAGAGAGTTCATGTTGGCAAGTAGTGAGAGTGAAGATGGAAAAGCAGGGTAAAGCCAAATTTTGTGAAACCCTAAAGCCAAGCTGAAGATTATTTCATGCTGTCCTGCAATTATTGGGGAACAATTAGAGCAGGTGAATGTAGCAAGGTGAATTTGTGTCCTTAGGAATATTATTTTTATAAATTTAGAAAAGTAGGTAGTTGGAGTGATTTGGGAAATTTAGAACATGGATTTTAATAAGAGAGAGAAGAATGAAAAGAAGAATGATAGATCTGATATATTTTAAGGAAATCGTGAGGATTTACTTACTAATTGCATATAAGGAATAAAGGAGGCCGGGCGCGGTGGCTCACGCCTGTAATCCTAGCACTCTGGGAGGCCGAGGTGGGCGGATTGCTCGAGGTCAGGAGTTCGAAACCAGCCTGAGCAAGAGCGAGACCCCATCTCTACTATAAATAGAAAGAAATTAATTGGCCAACTAATATATATACAAAAAAAAAATTAGCCGGGCATGGTGGTGCATGCCTGTAGTCCCAGCTACTTGGGAGGCTGAGGCGGCAGGATTGCTTGAGCCCAGGAGTTTGAGGTTGCTGTGAGCTAGGCTGACGCCATAGCACTCACTCAGCCAGGGCAACAAAGCGAGACTCTGTCTCAAAAAAAAAAAGGAATAAAGAAGAGTCAAAGATTTAAAGTTTTAAAATGACCAATTAAATGTTGGCATTAAAGGAAAAGGGAAGTTGGGGTATATTATGAGTTTGAATTGAAGGTGAGTGAAGTAAGACAATCCAATGTAGATATCCTTTTTTTTTTTTTTTTTGGAGACAGAGTCTCACTCTGTTGCCCAAGCTAGAGTGTCATGGTGTCAGCCTCGCTCATAGCAACATCAAACTCCTGAGCTCAAGCAATCCTGCTGCCTCAGCCTCCCAAGTAGCTGGAACTATAGGCATGCACCACCATGCCCAGCTAATTTTTTTTTCTATATGTTTTAGTTGGCCAATTAATTTTCTTTCTATTTTTAGTAGAGACAGGGTCTCAGTCTTGCTCAGGGTGGTTTCAAACTCCTGACCTTGAGCAATCCACCTGGCCCAATGTAGATATACTTAAGGCTACTTAAGGTAGATTTTATATAATTGTTGACATATGGGCTGAATTAAATTTCTAAGAGAAGTTTTTACTATGCATTAAAAGCCCATGTAAATACTAACATAGTGCAAAAATTATTTGCATGAGAATATTAGCATCCAAATTTTATATTTTTTTTTTTTTTTTTTTTTTTTTGAGACAGAGTCTCGCTTGTTGCCCAGCTAGAGTGAGTGCCGTGCGTCAGACTAGCTCACAGCAACCCTCAAACTCCTGGGCTCAGCAATCTCCCTGCCTCAGCCTCCAAGTAGCTGGACTACAGGCATTCGCCACCATGCCGGCTAATTTTGTATATATTAGTTGGCCAATTAATTTCTTTCTATTTATAGTAGAGACGGGGTCTCGCTCTTGCTCAGGCTGGTTTCGAACTCCTGACGTTGAGCAATCCGCCCGCCTCGGCCTCCCAGAGAGCTAGGATTACAGGCGTGAGCCACCGCGCCCGGCCTAAATTTTATATTTTTATATTGAGTTGAAGAGACAGAGAAATCAAAACTTTATTGACTTGGGACCATTAGACAGACATCACCTAGTCCAACTGAATCATTTCATGGAAGGAAAAAGGATGCCCAGAGATGTGATATGACTTCCCTTAGGCCATTCATTAGCTATTATGAAACCTGGTCTGGACCCAGGACTCTGTATTAAGAATTTCTACCTGCTCTCCAGTTAACACTAACTGTCTATAAGAAGTGTTGGTGGTTTGTATTTTGCCAGTTCACTGGTGGAGAATAGGATTAGAAGGTTTAGCTTGCCCATTAGTGCTGTCTTGTAGTCACTCTTCTAATTAATATGGACATTTTTTTACCCTTTCTCATGAAACGGCTCTAAGTTGTTTAAAAGCTTCACTCTCCTTAATGCATTGTTTTCTCCCACATACAGTCATTGTTGACATTTTCTGATTTACAAGGTCATCTATTTCTTCAATCGTTTGAAAAGGAATAGGTATTTCTAATGCTGTACTCTTTTTCTGTTTATCTTTCAGAAGAAAAATGGGTTACTCTTTGGCCTACAAAACCATGGGCCTACAGAACATAGATCAAACTGTCTGCTCGATTTTCCTGATCTGGTTCCTGATTATCTTCAAATCTAAATCACTACCCAGACTTTAAAATTAAGACTTCAGTGTTCGTTCCTTACTGAACTGAAATTCACGGTCTTTGTTCTAGCAAGCCCGATCAGTTTATCCTTTGAGTCATAGGATTTTAAAATGAAAATAGACCCTAGGGATCATTGAATGCAGTGCTCTAATCAAACTGTATTCCTAAAATAGTCTTTCTGCTTCCCATCTGTTATTTGTTTTTAATAAAATATAACTATTTACTAGCAAGTAAGCAGAAATGAATTTAAAAGGGAAAATG